AACTACGTACGTAGTAGTAGTAGGTAGGTACGGACGTCGTACGTACCAACCTACTACCTCCTACCTACGTACGTCGTCGACTCTCTCTCTCTCTCTCTCTCTCTCTCTCTCTCTCTCTCTCTCTCTCTATAAAGTACTCCTTTTAAAAAAATCTTGCACTTCCGCTCGCCTCTGTGAAACTCTCTGTAGCAACTTGCTCTCTCCCACTATCCTCTGTGAAAGAGAAGAGAAATGCCCCAAACCTGTTGCCCCAAACCCTAGCAGGATTACTCTCTCTCTCTAAATTACTCTTTTACTCAAGGCAAATAAAGGCAGCCCATTCTCTTCTCTGCGGTACTCTCTGCCCCAAGCCCTAGAAGAACGCGACCCACTTCAACAAGCGTGCAAGGCCCAGCTACAAGATTCGTTAGAAAAGCGACAAAATCTCTTCTTCACTTCATCTTCACAGAGGTAAGAGGAAGTTTTCCCTATGAACCAAAGAGCCCCTATTGTTATTTTCACTAAACAATCATGGGTTTTCTCTTTCTTTCCTGAACTTATCAAAGAGAAAATTTTGGGTTTTAAGCTATAATGGAGCTCTGTTCAGGCGGACTATGCACTTACAGTCTCAATTATCTAGAAACAAAGAGAAATTATGGTTACCCATCTTCTCTGAGAGGCTTGAGCTTCATTATAGGAGGAGAACTTCACAATGGCAAGGTTTAATCTTTGAAATTTCGTGTTTCCTTTGATATACTTACTAGTTTTTCTTGTTATTTCAAAGGAAATAGAAGAACCCATCATATTAGCTGTGGAACTAATTTAAGTAGCTATAATGAAGCCAAGATTAAGTGTAGGATTAGGAAAGGGTTGAATTCTGATGGGGTTATTGAAGTTTTGAGGTCATACTCTAACCCATTCGAGGCACTTGTGTTCTTTAAATCAATAGCCCAACAACCCATGATCATTCATACCACTGAAACCTGCAATTATATGTTTGATATTCTCATAATCAATGGGAAAGTTACAGAAATGTCAATGGTATTTGATTTGATGCAACAACAAATAATCAAAAGAAACCAAAAAACCTACTTTACAATTTTTAAAGGTTTGGACATTTTTGGAGGAATTAAGTGAGCCCCAGTTGCCCTTGAGAGGATGGGTCATGCTGTTTTTTTCCTAAATGCATTCTCTTACAAATGGGTTGATCCATCTCTTTCTTCAATTTGCGTTTCAGAGAGAAGCCATGGAAGTTTACAGATGCATGGTTGTTGAAAACATAAAACCCAGTTTGAAAACTTACTCTGCTCTCATGGTAGCCTTTGGAAAGAGGAAGGATGCCAATACTATTATGTACCTTTTGCATGAAATGGAAGCCTTGGGATTGAGGCCTAATATTTATACTTTTACAATTTGTATCAGAATATTTACAAAGGAGTTGTTCTATCAAATGAAAAGTGGTAATCACAGGCCTGATAGGGTAACATATATCACCATGATCTTGGAGATTTAGGTTTCGTTTGTGAACTATAGAGAGAAATGGAAGCCTATGACTATGACACCGATGTGGTTAGCTTCAGACTACTTATCAATGCTCTATGCAAAGCGGGAATAGTGGGTGAAGCATTAAAAATGTTAGATGTGATGGAGAAGAAGGCTATATCAGCAAATCCACATACTTATAACACCTTGATATTGAAACATCTCAAGGTTGATAGACTTGGTGAAGCTCAAGAGCTCTTTGAGTTTATGGGTCTCCATGGTCCTCAACCCACTGTATATACTTATATTCTTTTCATTGATTATTTCGGGAAATCAGGGGACCCTCAGAAGGCACTAGAAATCTTTGGGAGGATGAAGAACAAAGGAATTGTTCCTAATGTTGTTGCTTGTAATGTATGTCTACATAATCTTGCAAAACTAGGTAGACTTGGGGAAGCGAAAGATTGTTTCCGAGAGCTTAAATTGAGTGGCTTCTCACCTGATGCAATCACCTATAACATGATGATCAAATGCTATGGCAAGGCAGGGAAAGTGGATGAAGCAGTCAAGTTGTTACATCAAATGATGGAAAATGGGTGTGTCCCAGATGAAATTAGAATTAATACTTTGATTGGGGTTCTCTATAGAGTTGATAGAGTAGATGAAGCATGGGATATTTCATAAAATAAAAGAAATGAAACTCAAACCTAGTGTTGTGACTTATAACACATTGTTGGCTGGGTTGGGTAAAGAGGGTAAAATTGAGAGAGCAATGGAGTTTTTTAAGCGAGTGGATCAATGTGGGGGTCCTCCAGACACAATGTCATATAACACAATAATGGATTCTCTTTGTAAGGATGGGAAAGTTGGTTTGGCCTTAAATATGTTCTATGAGATGCCTGAAAAGGGATGCAATCCAGATGTTTCAACATATAACAAGGTCATCCATGGCTTGGTTAAGGAAGAGAAGCTCGATGAAGCGCTATGGTTCTTCAGTCAAATGAAGAAAACTCTTTCTCCTGATCTGATTACGTTGAATGCTATCTTGGCCATGATTGTTAAACATGGGTTTCTTATGGATTTTAATTCAAAGGAGGGTGCTCAATTAGTCAGTTCCTTCTTGGAAACTCTTATGGAAAGGACTTTAAAAGAAGCTAATCCGCACTGCTGTTATGAATCTTTGCTGATGATTTCCCAATGTAATCGTTCATCCATAGATTAAATATATAGATTTCATTGATTATTCTAAAGTATAATAAAACTGTTGATGAATTACTGGAGAGATACCCTTGTACTTTATGAGAATGGTTGCAAACTAATGTTTGAAATGACATCCAATTTCTTTATGTCCACTGATGAGTTGTTAGGGTTGAAGAGCTGGTTACTATTTTTTCAGATGTGGTTAGAACTCAAATTTCTTGTTGACTATTGGGACTCTGAATTTACTTAAAACATGAGGTGAAATGTGTTTTTCATCGCAGCAATGATTGATGTTTTTTGGATATTTTGGAAAATATTGGGATTTTTTAATTGGTTTCTAATACATGTGGATATCACCTGGATATGCTACGGGGTTCAGGCTTTTGTCATATCTTCATGGGACCCCACAAGTAAGTTACAATGTCATAGTGAGATGATTGCCCTTGCATGTGCACCCGACAAGTAAGTTACCAAACATAAAAAATGATTACATGAGAAAAAAACAAGCTTGAGAATCACATTCCTTGTAAATTGTTTTCTGGTTGAATTGATGAAGTTTGGAAATTGGTGATAGAGACAACCCATAAGCTCATCAAGTCAGCCATGCAAAGATGATCACTATTCACATTAGAATCAATTAAAAATGTGAAATACCTTGCAATTCTCTCTCTCTCTCTCTCTGTCTCTCATGCTATACTATGTAATACATTGCTGTTAAAAATCACATTTTCACATCTGTCGATTTTCAATAAACAATAAAATATTTTTGCACAAGTACATTCATAAAGTCCCATTCATCTTCACCATTCTCAGCATTAACCAAATACCTTACTGACCCATAACCTGTAAAGGGGCTCAAAAAATACTCCATTCATCCTTTGGATTTCTAAGCTTGGTGGTTCTATACAAAAACCCGTAAAGGGCCTTAGAAAATGCTTTACATCCAAAATATAAACAAGAAATTAATATACAAAAAATGGGGGGACCATGTGCTAAAAAAGGTACTAAAAATTATCCCATGTTTGTTGCTTTGTGCTGCTCCCTCTTTAGAGAGAGGATCAGATGCAGAGTTGGCTATACGAATAAGTAGTTCCATAACAAAAGTGGGACTCATCCACAAAGGTGGAAACAAATGTTGTGGTTGCATCAAGCTGCAAGTAAAAAGTAAAAAAAATCATCACTAAGGGGCTCCAAATTTCATGTCCATAATAAATCATAGATATATATAAAAGAAATGATTATATGAAATAAAATGTATTTAACTAGTTTTCACGTATCCCATTGGGAAGAGTACCATAATAATAAAAGCTTACCTAAAAGGCACCACTATAATCTTGAATCATAGCATTCGAGGATGGATCTATCATTGAAATATGTAAAGTAAGTTAGAAAACAAAAGAACTTATCATACAACTAGTGAAAGTAAGAAGAAGGTAGACAGAGAGAGTACAAATACAAAATAATCAATATCTTACCCCTATAAGCTGTGAATCACTACTTTTTGACAATGAACAAGTACGCGAATTATGTCCCACTTTGTTGCACATAGGACATGTAACAAGCTTCCGCGGCAGCGTCTTTGCTGGTGATTTGATTCTTGTGGCCAAAGGGCGGCCCTTTGTTGTTGTGAGTAATGGATTTTGTAGTATAACATTACTTGTTGAACAATCTTGATTTATTTCACTTGTTGTCATAACTATTCCCAAGTTACTTTCATTGCCCTTAGGGCAAACTTGTGATGCGTTTTCAATACCTTCCTCATGGATAGCTCTTTGCCTCAATTCTTGAAATCCTAGCAACACCATATCAAAAACACGTGCAGATTTCGCCCCAATCTCTGCAAAGTTAATTGCTTCATGACTTAAATAGTTGAATCATGAGAATAGAGAATCCATGGAATTTCCCATCGCTCATTTTCTATGCTCATTTAATAAAGTCTCTTTCTTGGCATTCCTTGTCCATCGCTTCAAAATGTATTGGGATGGAATTTCTTGAACATGCTCATGATGGAAAACTGCTAATATATGCTTACAAAGAAACCAGAAAACTCAAACGTTTTACAGCTACAAGTTGCTTCGATTTTAGAGGCATCAAATACAACTATATATTCTTTGCTATTTTTTCCTTATGTTGTCAACTTGTATGTGTTGATTAAGCCATCCTCCTCAATTTTCTTTATCATAATTGATATCACTTCATCCAATTCCTTTTGAAACTTAAGGAACACTGTTCTAGAATAAGCATTTGCTGCTTGTTTCTCCATAGGTAGTCTTGTGTTCAAAGTTGGTGTAGAGTAAGATGTGACATGATCTAAATAGGATTCATCATTGTACCGGTGATCAATGGCCTTTTTCATATTTAAGAACAAATTCTTGCAGGGTAGTTTGAGAGTTAAAAAACCTGTGAAAAAAATGGTTCATACTTTCACTTCGCCGGGTAGTACAACAATTTGCAAAGAATGTACCACACAAATAGATTGGTATCCATTTTTGTCGAATATCATATAATGATGCTAACCAGTTATTTTCCTTTAGCTCATACTTATCAATAATTAATCTCCATGAACTCTCGAACTCTTCAAATGTTTCGGACCAATTAATACAATTAAGGAACTTCTTAACAAAAGTAGGATGTTTTACGCAAATGCTTCCCAACTTCTCGTTGACCTTTTTTAAGATGTGCCATTTGCAAAATATGTGGACACTGTTTGGAAATACACGAGCAATAGCTCCTTGCATGGCCTCGTCTTGGCCGGTGATTATTGTAATTGGATGTTTACCATTTATTGCTGCAAGCCATGTCTCAAATAGCCAAATAAATGACGATTCGATTTCATCTCCCAAAAGTGCACAACCAAATATAAGTAGAACTTGTATGGTGATTGATTCCCGTAAATGGGGCAAAAGGCATTTTAAACCTATTTGTCACATCCCCAAAACATTGATATGCATTCCTTGACCTAGCATCAATCCAAAAATTATTTGCTAAATGGCCATCATCAATTACATCAATTGCATAAAAGAATGAAGAATTTTCTCTTTGCATACGCTTTAAATAATTTAAAAGCAATTGAGCATCATTGTCGAGGCTTTTCTTTTTAAACTTTCTAAGCTCATTTCTACGATCACGTTCCATTAGGCCTAAATTACAGTCTCCACCAGATTCTACTCTAAAGACATTCATAATCTTATTAGTAGGAATCCTGACTTCATGAAAAGTATCAATAATACTTCTCTTACATTTAGAAACAGCCCGATGCGATCGGAGACAATGCACCTTACTTGGACTCACAAATACATGATTGTGGTCTTTATTGAACCGTGTAACAACCCACTTGTTAAATACCTTTTTTATATATTTTCATCATTGCTTTGCAATCAATTCTTGTTTGTGGTACCTTTCAAGTAGGTTTTCCACTATCAACTTTCCTTGAAAGAAATCCTTCTCTTGAACATAGAAATTTACAAGAGCGTACGACCCCTTCTTGTTGTGTTTTTTTTATATTTCCCATGCGCATGCTAAATCCCATTTGTCTCGTATATTCATTATAGAATAATTTTGCTTTTTCCTCAGATGAAAATTCTATACCCACAAATGGTTCACAAGCAATATTTCCTTCATTTTGATAGCTTCCCAATCTTTCATTTTCATCTTCCTCATTGCAAGTGTTTATAATACCAAACTCCTTAGAACCATCATTATTACTCCCTTTTGCATGTGATTCCACTAGTTCATGTACACTTTTCACAGGTGTATGTTGCATTCAAATGATTGGTTAGACTTCAACACAAGCAAAAAAGATTGGTCTTATTTCAACATGAACAAAAAAATAACCATTTTTGAAGTACTCATTACCTTCATAGAACTATCGATTTCTTCTGCATTAGCACCATACCATAAGGAATGGTTACCTCCATGGCAAGGAGGAAAGCTTATAACTTTTTAGTGTCTCTTTCTGGCTTAGCAGCATGGAGCGAGAATGACAAAAATGACTTATCATGTGTCATATTCTATACCGCCACAATAATAATAGGTTCGATATGGAAAAAGAAAAAAATTCACTATCAAAGGGTATGGACGACAAGGGTTCTATGAAAGTAATTAATACATGACACTTGATGAAAAAGAGAGCTAAAATTGAGAATAAAGAAATATTAAAGGATGCAATTACAATCTAATTTAAGAGCAAAAACAAAAAGGGCAGCATGTTCCATCATGTTATAAAGTAAAAAGCATTGCTAATGGGAGGATAAGCAGAAAAGAAGCATTAGCATGTGCATTATACACTTTCTTTTTGGGTTAAAGTACACAATACATGGCCAAGTTAGGAAATCAATTGGGGATTCATACAAAACAATACAAAGTTACAAATCATGCACTTTACAATAAAGTTTCAAAGAAAATTTTCAAAATTAAATTGGCAAGAAACCAAAAATTTGCATCAAAAAATTTGCAGCAAAAGCGTCGAGCTAAATAGTAATTAGCTCACCACTGACTCAGTTTCTCAAATTCAAAAATCAAAGAAATAGCAATGACCCATCATGTATGAATAATCTGATAGAGAGAGGAAATAATCAACAAGGCCCATGGAAACATTCAAGGAAATAATCAACTGCCCATCATTTGCTTCAATTTAGGAATAGCGCAATTATTTGCATAGTGCCAAACTACCAAAGCAAATCAATAGTAATAATCGAACACTGCCATTAATTTATCAAAGTAAAAGAACAGTAAACCCTTGACAAGAATAATGTAGAGAGTGAACAATTAAATAATTTACAAAACTTAAGGAAAATTTCAAGAGAATAAAAATCTAAAAAGCCTTCCTCTTTCTCTTTAGACAAGTTCGTTTAGGCCAAGATAACATACATAATTGAGAACCTAAATACAAGAAAATGTGAAAATCATTGAAAAAGTGTAGAATCAAAAACACCAACTCTGCAACTTAAGGATCAGAGTCATCAGACCATCCCTTAATTAAGGAATCTAAAAATTTCCCTAACAATTCAGAAATGTGGAGAA